AGAAAAAAAAGTTGCTAATAGGGTTTGAAAACTCGCTAAATATAGCGACAAAGTCGCTAAGTTGACATCACTGGTGATGGCCTGGTATCTTTTTAGCTGTTTAACTGAATCTGGGTGGAGTACATAAGTTGATATTTCAGGGAAATGGTTGAGAATTCGACACACGTGTCAGGATGGGCATGCATACTCTTTTGTAATGGTTGTTACAAAGAAGTGTTTTGTTAGCCATTTGAAAATTCATGATAACAAGTCATTTTTTAAGCATCAATTAGATTTGCACTTTTTGAATGATATTAGAGTCTCATCATCGTTGGCTGCATAGAAATCCTGAGCTTACGAGTAATATTTTTACATTATTTTCAGACACTGGTGCTTATATTTTTCCACAATAGCTCCATCATGTCTGGTGTTTTTTAAATTCTTGTTTACATGTTTTTGTTTTTTGGGTTTTTTTTTTTTGGTCTAAACTGAGACCAAGTTGGACATTTAAATTCCCCATTATTCAAAAACGTGCACATAAAAAAAAAAAAAGAGTATGTTTCCCTAAACTGAAAAATTGTGGCCATTTAGAAAATTCAATGCCTTAAGTTAAAGATTCAAAAGTGAGAAGCATAAAAACTTTGCTGCACTGCCATCTGCGGTCATTAGCTGTGGTATCCAATGATTATGGTATGTAGTCTTTGTCAACATACTTGAAGTAGGAAGTAAACACTCAAAGATCTTGTAAACACTCTTACACTCTCAGCAGTGTTGTATTGTGTGTGTGTGTGTGTGTGTGTGTTAAGGGTAAAGGTTAGTCATGATGTACTTTTGACTCTTGGAATACCCAAATGGAAAACATTTTTAAAAGGAACACTGTGATGTCAAAATGAAAACATGACACTTCACTTGAAAGGCAACATCTTTCTGTTTCTGAGAATTTGACCATTTTCCATGTGGGGAAAATAAAAACTAACTTTAACCCTAGACCAATCACCAATGACCTGGCAGGTGTTAAAATGTTAACCGCGCAGTGTTAAACTCATCCAGTGATTATCTCACTTATTAGCAATGACACTGGAGTTAATAAATGTCTGTTGGACTACAGAGAAGATCTCCCAGCCCAAATAGAAACGGAGAATAACTGGCAGCATTGAGAAGCTGTAACACTGGTGTCAATGAATTTTAGTGGAGAAGAGACATCATCATGTGTGTTGGCTCTGCTGCCTTAAGAGGTCTACTCAGCTGGCTATTAGCCGCATTCAGTGGTGCTGATGACTAAGAGCTGAGTGCAGGCTCTTATGGGGTTTTGCTGTGTTTCTGTGTTAATATGCAGTCAGCTGTGCGAGTGATGGCCTGAAAATGAGACTGATGGCAGGTTGTGAAACAAAGTAGGAAGGAAAGAAAGTGATTGCGGTGCTAACATTTCCCTCTTGATAAGCGACAGATACACAGTGACTTGTAGCTGTAGCTGTTTATCCAGAACAGGAAGCTGCTGTCGTCGCGGAGTGTTCTAATTGCGGTGGGTTTGTAGGCTTTTGGCCTCTCGATATGTTTTAAAAGAGTGTGTATGTGTTGAGACTGACACAGAACTGATCTCTGTCGTTTGAAACCATCGAGATTAGGTGCTTCACACAGCTGTTTGTGAATGACTTGCACAGTAAAGGCTAGTACTTCATGTATACATGTGAAGCAGCCCAGTGAGTCAGACAGGCTTTCACTGACATATTCATTTATTCATGTGTTTATTCATTCAGGTGCTGCATGTTCTCGTATACATTCAACCTGCTTCAACTTTTCTGCTGACAAAGATTTCTCCATTTTTCAACATTTTCTGTTGGCTGAATTTTATTTTTCAGAAAGATGCAAAGAAACTGAATTACATTCACAGTAGACCCAGCTGTTAAAAGAAGAAAGAAATATTTCAAGATCCACTAAGGTTTTGTTTGTTTGTTTTTTAACAAATGTTTCATCTACTGAAGCATAGGCATATTTTAATGAATATAACAGGAAAAGACATACACTGTATTGCCAAAGGGATTCACTCACCTATCCATGTCATTGAATTCAGGTCTTCCAGTCACTTCCATGTCCACAGGTGTATAAAAATCAAGCACCTAGGCATGCACACCGCTTCTACAAACAATTGTGAAAGAACGGGTTGTTCTCAGGAATTCCAGCGTGATACAGTGATAGGATTCCAAATACGTGACGAGTCAAGTTGTGAAATATTCCAAATTCAACTGTTAGTGGTATTATAACAAAGTGGAAGTTATTAGGAATGGTAGAAACTCAGCTACAAAGTGGTAGGCGATATAAAATCGCCGAGCAGGGTCAGCGGATGCTGACGAGCATAGTGCACAGAGGTCAGCAACTTTCTGTAGATCCCTACAGACCTCCAAACTTCATGTTGCCTTCAGATTAGATCAAGAACAGTCTGTAGAGAGCTTCATGGAATGGGTTTTCATGGCCAAGCAGCTGTATCCAAGCTTTACATCACCAAGCACAATCCAAAGCTTTGGTTGCAGTGGTGCTTTAGACCACTGCATCTGTCTGAGCTAATTGGAGGGTCTTCACTGCATTCTTTTACTAAGTTCCAGTAAATGGAGCTCTTAATACTTCAGCATACCAAGGCATTTTGGATAGTTTCATGCTCCTAACTTTGAAGGATAAATTTGAGGATGGCCCCTTCGTGTTCCAACGTGACTGTGCACCAGTCCACAAAGCAAGGGCCATAAAGACATGGATGAGTGAGTTTGCTGTGAAAGAAATTGACTGGCCTGCACAGAGTCCCAACTTCAAGCCGACAAAACACCTTTGGGATGAATTAGAGCGGAGACTAGAGAGGACATCTTGACCAGTATCCGTGTCTGACCTCACAAATGCGATTTTGGAAGCTCATAGACATGTACTCGTAAAACTTGTGAAAACTTTTCCCTGGAGAGTTGATGCTGTTATAGCTGCAAATGGTGGGTTGACATCATTTAAACCCTATGGATTAAAAATTAGATTAGATTAGAGATTAGATGAAACTTTATTAATCCCTCGGGTGGGTTCCTCCGGGAAATTTAGTGTCCAGTAGCAAAGCACCGAAAAAAGTTGCATGTTACAGATACATTAAGGGGAATGAGAGTAAGGATATAAGCATAAATACACCATATATACACATATATAGATACAGAATATACAATATGGATAAATAGGATTGCTCATTTGAGTGAGTATATTGCACAGTGATTATTGCACAGTCGAATATAAGAAAAAAAAGACAAAACAAAAATGGGATGTCACTCAAGTTCATATGCATGTGAAGGCAGGCGAGCGAGTACTTTTGGCCTTATAGTGTGTATCTCTGTCAGTCATAGCATATCCAAATGTTGGCTTTAGTAGAGTCAGACTTATTACCAAGTCTCTACAAAACTTGTATTAAATCACAAGTATATAGTGCATATGCAGTATATACTGTATATATTGCTCACATAACACAATAACTGCATCTCAAACTAATATAAACTAAGTGGTACTATTTAAAACAGGAAATGTGCTTTATTAGCAAGGCTCCTTCCGATTGTCAAACACATCAATCTTAATAATTTAGTCTGTTATAAAATATTACATTTTGGCACCAAATCACAACAAAAGTCACCTCAAGGCACTTTATTTTGTACTGTAAAGACCTTACAATAATAAAGAGAGAACCCAAGCAATCAAATGACTCCCTATAAGCAAGCACTGGTGACAGTGGGAAGAAAAAAAACCTCTGGCAGAACCAGGCTCAGGGAGGGCCGACACTCTGCCAAGACAGGTCGAGGGTGAGAAAGACATTTGATGTTAAAGGCAAACTCAAAATAAGCCCTAGATAAGGTTTTTTTTTCCCAATACGGAGAGTGCATCTGATTTCAGAGGTTTTTGGTAATTGTTGCTTTAGAAAATCCTAAAGACACATATAAAAGAAAGATGTATTGGGGTTCAATTAAATTTGCATTTGGCTGTCAAAAGAAAGATCTACAAAACTGCTGACCAGAGTGAGCTCGGCTTTTTAGAG